AACTGCAGGAACAGGATCATTGAAACCCAGACTGTGGGACAAGAAAAGATGGCACAGTGAGCTCAACAAGGAACGTGCTGTGGGACAGGAAGACAAACTGCAGATACAGGTAGACTTAGGGTTCTCTTGTCGATGTGAACATTTTATACAGGAGTGTGAAGCCAAGGATTAAGGAAAGAAAGCAGAATAAAGGGGCACAGTGGAGCAAGCCTTCTCGGGATGCCTGCATCCCGTACTGTGTGGGTTTGAGTCCCGGCTCTTCCACTTTTGACTTGCCTTCCTGCCCTTCGCTGGATGGAGTTCCTGCCTGAGCATCTGCTGCTATGGCCGCGTGGGAGCAAAGCAGTAGGTGGAAGATTTCTCTCTCTCCACTCTTCCTGTCCCCCTACTATCAAAGTACCTTTCAAATAAGGAAGTAGGTAAATAAATAAATCTTTAACAAAAAAAATAGCCAAAAGCCAGAAGGAAGATAAGTTGATATGAGATCAGAAAAGCTGCTCAGCCCCTGGAAGCTCTCGAGGAGCCGAGCCGTGTTAGATGTGTCTCCCAGTGGACGGAGAATATTCCCTTCTCTCTTTGCTGCGGTCATTTACTCTGCATTTCAAGCAAATCTTTTAAAAAAGGCCAAAGGTAAGACAAGGCTTTGTTATACTGGCCTAGCCCGTGTTAGGACTTATTCTGAAATGGTAATGTTAAGGTAGTGTGAAAGAGGGACAGAATAAGACAATGAGAATCTTTGAAGAAAATGAATTTGTGTGCCATAGGGCTAGGAAAGAAGCCCTGGAAGAGGAGCAGGTAGCCTGCAGGAACTGTGCCTGTTAGCCAGGTCAGGGGCGCCCCAGCCCTCGCCGTGGGCAGCTCAGAGGAATTCCCCCTGCCCTGCACCACAGAAGCTGTTAGGTCCTGCAACACTGTGCTGATGACATCCTGGGAGAATTTTTGGGAACTCCACACCCAGAAAGCCCCTAGTCACAATTTCCCAGAAGAGGGAGGAGGAGAGAGGCCAGTGGGGACCCAAACTGACGCCCATAAAAGCTCCAGTGTGAACGCAGAATGTGTTTCCCCAAGATGTCAGAGTATCAGGTCTTGTGTCCATTATTTCTTGTCATTAAATTTGACTACCTGACTGACCACTGCTCTCTGTCTCGTGGCTGAATTCCTTTTGTGTGGAGACAAGAACCCCTGGGTGGCTGATCTCCAGTAACGGTAAAAATAACGGGTCATTTGGCTCAAGTGTAGACAAACAGATCATGGAATGTAATCAACAGTCTATTATGAGATCTGCTGATCTACTTGTGAAGAACAGAAAGTTCCCAGTAAACAATGCTGAGACAATTGGGTATTCATAACAAGGACAGCAAAATCAGGCCCTTAATTTTGTACCACCCACAAAAGCTAGTTCTACACAGGTTAGCATTTTTAAAAAGGAAAAGTTAGTAGTTGTATTTGTGACCTTTGGTTAGAACGTTATTTCTGAAGGAGGAACCAAAAAGTACAAATCTTAAGAAGATGGAAAAAAACTTGACATTGAATAAATTTCTTCATTTATATTGCCACCTAGACACGCTGTTCCTAGCATGTGTAACCAACAAGTGATTAATGTATAGAACGCTGATGACAATAAAAGCAAAAATAAAAAGGAGAGAAATCTGTCAACAGGCATCTCACGGAGGACACAGAAATGATATCAAAAGGAGGTGGTTCGTGTCACCATCTCTCTCGGGAGACTCAGGAAAGCCACGCTGCTGGCAACCATGAAGGACAACCTGAGCACTTCCTCTGTTGGTGAAAAAGTGTATATCCTGCGGTTAGAAGCACAATCATTTTAGAAAACCATTTAGCATCACTTAGAAAGTACAATCTACACGTGTTGTGTGTCCCAGCAACTGCACGCCTGTGTGGCTTACCTGACAAGAGCTTCTAACCCCACGGTGAAGTGTGAAAAGCAAAAATTCTCAGCCACTCTGCCGACTCCTCAACCTGAGATGGGGGCTGGCGCTAACAGCAACATCCCGTTGTGAAAGTCCCACAGCAGGGCCCAGCAGCATGGCCTAGCGGCTAAAGTCCTCACCTTGAATGCCCCAGGATCCCATATGGGCACCGGTTCCACTTCCCATCCAGCTCCCTGGGAAAGCAGTAGAGCACGGCCCAATAAGAGGTTCCTGGCTCCTGGCTTCGGATCGGCATAGCATCAGCCATTACGCTCACTTGGGGAGTGAAGCATCGGATGGAAGATTTTCCTCTCTGTCTCTCCTTCTCTCTGTATATCTGACTTTCCAATCAATCAATCAATCTTTTTTTTTTTTTAAAAAGAAAGTCCCACAGCAGATTTCAAAGTCCCACCTTCATCGAGGTGTCATTTACATACCATAAAACAGAATGCCATACAGAAATACTTGGACCCTGAGGGATGAGCATGGGACATTCACAGTAATGATATTTATAACAAAACCCCTGCAAATCGCCCCAATGTCCGCTCTAGTAGAATGGACAGAACCATATGATTGCTGGATTTCTCTACAGAAATCATCAACATGGACAGCACCTCTGATGGGCATCAAAAACACAAAGATGAGTCCAATGGCGGTTTTAGAAACCAAATCTTACAGGTGCAAAATCTGGCAAAGATAAACGTGACTTAGGGCTAATTTTCCTATAAATATAAATTTAAGATTACCAGAAAACATAAGTACTGGTTTAATTCTTAAAATGGATAATGACTCCTGAATGTTTATTACTAGAAAACTAAACTGTGGGACTGGCACGGTGTCTCAAAAGGCTAATCCTCAGCCTGCAGTGCTGGCATCCTATATGGGTACTGGTTCTACTCCTGGGTGCTCTACTTTCAATCTGGCTCCCTGCTTGTGCCCTGGAAAAGCAGTGGATGATGGCCCAAGTCCTTGGGATCTGGACACATATGGAAGACCCAGAAGAAGCTCCTGGCCTTGGACTGGCTCAACTCAGGCCAGGAGCTTCTTTGGGGTCTCCCACACTGGTGCATGGTGAGCCTGAGTGACGCAGGGCCTGGCATGGTGGCCTAGTGTCTAAAGTCCTTGCTTTACATGCACCAGGATCCCATATGGGTACTGGTTTGTTTTATGGGTGCTCCACTTCCCATCCAGCTCCCTGCTTGTGGCCTGGGAAAGCAGTAGAAGATGGCGCAAAGCCTTGGGCCCCTGCACCCTGTGGGAGACCCAGAAGAGGCTCCTGGCTCCTGTTCATTTCAGCTCTGGGCATGGAGGTCACTTGGGGAATGAATCAGCAGATGGGATATCTTTGTCTCTCCTTCCCTCTGTGAATCTGATTTTCCAATAAAAATAAATAAATCTTAAAAAAAAAAATAAAGAGAGAGATGTGAAATTTCAGACTGGATGAGATTCTGGGTTGGTCTTTTTCCTTAGCGGTGTGGCGGATGAATGCATCTGTGTAAAATGCCTGCTTGGGGAGAAGGCATGGACATGTGCGTGGGCGCTAAGAACGGGCTGTGGCACACTCTGGGTCCGCCTCAGCAATGCACATGCCCAGCCCTCTCCTTGACCACCCCCATCAGAGAGCCTGCAAATGCAAGAGCTACATCTGCTTTCCCAGACATCTTTATCCCGGGGAAGGGAGGTGTGTACATGACCATCTGACCTAACTCCAGCGAACCACACAAACGTGAGAGCCTTGGCGGGGTGTTTCTAGGGGGATGTTCTTGATTGTGAAAAGGAACAGCTGTGGGGTCGCCTTTCCTCTTCCTTGAATTTGGATGTGGTCTCTGGAGCTGTGGCAGCTCTTCAGTCATGGAGGAAATGCAGTAACAGCTGGGTACAAAGCAGCTACCAAAAGTAGAGAGGAAGCAAGAGTGGGCAGCTGGAGGTGCGTGAACAGCACAGCTCCCATGGGGTGCTCAAACAGTTCTTCTATGGAATACTTTGCTTTTGAAATATACAGAAACAAAAAAAAAGTACAATTACAGTGTTCAAGTTTTTTTTATCCCGGGAATTATTTTCCTTATTGCTTTCCTGGAATGCCTGAATACTCTAGATTTCCTATCTGCTTTTCCAGGACTAATTGCCAATTGTAAAGTAGCTCAACTTTGGGTTTCTCTGAAGGTTTCTGAAACACAAACAAACAAACAAACAAAAAAATCGTTTCTCATTGGTTTTCCCTTAAACCCGTTATTCCAGAACAACGTGTTCCAACTGGACTCAGAGCTCTGGACCACCGATAGTCGACTGCAACCTGAGACGCCCATTATGGGAAAGCGGACCTCAAACCCAACCAGAATCTCTTCACAGATGGTTATGGTCCTTTTTTTTTTTTTTGGATGGATATATTTCAAGAGATGGTTTAAGGGGCGAGAGCGAGTGAAGGAAGAAGCCGTTTTCCTGGCGCTTATGACATGCCAGCTTCTGTACCGCCTGTTCTCACCTTCCTTCACCTTGGAGATCCAGGAAACGGCGAAGTCATCGGAAGGCACTCCTGACGCGACTGCGGACGCAGAGGGTTGGGCCCTTGGGGAAGAGGGGCGGAGCCAGACTGCGAGGGCGGGGCCAACCTGAGGGGCGGGGCCTGCAGACAGGGGCGGAGCAACACGAGGGGCGGGGCCTACAGACGGGGGTGGGATTTGTCCAGGAGGGCGGGGTCTGTCAGTGGGCGACGGGACCTACCAGCGAGGGGCGGGTCCTGCAGGAGGGGCGGGTCCTGCAGGAGGGGCGGGGACGGAAGGCTGCTGTGGCTCCTTCTAGCTGCGGTTCTAGAACGCGGCGCTCGGGCGCCTTTTGCTTCCGCGCCGGCCATGGAGCGCCTAACGTTGCCTCCCGGCGGCGCGGCGGCGGTGGACGAGTACCTGGAGTACCGGAGGTGAGGCTGTGGCTCTGGGACGAGCACTAGGAAGGCTGGAGCAGGGCCGGAACCTTGGGACTTGGCTGCTGGAGGCCTGGCTTCTTGTCAGATTTCGCCTCCTGGCGGCAAATGTTGCTCGCCTTTCCCGAAACCATTTCCGCGCGTCCCGCCAGGAGGTTTCTGAACTCCAGATGGACACGAAGGGGTGGAGGGGTCCTGGTGTGTTTTCCAGATGGCCTTTGGAGAATCAGTTGTGTCGGTGCGTCCGGTGATCGCGTGGAACGTGTGGTTCTCAGTGCATCTCCCTCAGCACTCTCCACCCCCGAGGCTCTGACTTTAGGAGGGAGAGAGAGAGAGACAGGGAGAGACACTACACTGATCGCTGGGCTTTCGTGGAGAGAAAAGGAGAAAACTCGCTCCCTGCTTTGGCCCAGGTCTCGGCGCACTGCCTGGGGTCTGACCGAGACTCAGGCAGGCACCTGCAGCCCCTTTTCAGAGGGCGAGGACCAGAGCCCGTTTGTGTGTGTCAAACAACAGGTGGCTTGAGGGTGGTCGCCCTGATCTCCCAGGTAAACTCGCCCGGGCCGTCTGGGCAGTCTACACTCCTGCCACTGACTGCCCCCGCTGGTGGAGTTTTGGGTAAAGGCTTTGAGGTGCCTGGAAACTGCGCAGGAGAGGCGTGCACGGGGAGCTCGGTGGGGCAGACCTCATTGAGCAGTTCAGGTGAGTCCTGGGCGGGAACAGGTACCACCCAGCCCTTTATCCCGAGCACAGCCAGATGCTGTGGCCTCCAGCTAGCTCTTCAGGCTACTCGGGCCCTTCGGCCATCTGCAGGGTCTTGGTGTTCACCTGTGCCTTAGACGTCTGTGTACGTGTGTGTGGGGGAAGCAGAGCAGCTGGTACACGAACTGACACCTATGGCACTGAAGGTGGAAGATTAGCTTGTTGAACTACCATGCTGGCCCTGAACTTTTTCCTCCCATAGCAATAACAGGGATTTTTTTTTCTCATAAAACTGTGCTTCTGAAATTAAATGGTGATAAACCTGAGTCCCCAACACAGAAATAAGGTTCTGATTGTGTGTGTGAGACTATTTAGGGTCAACAGTCAAACTCCTGGCCAGGGATGAGCATCAGGTATGCATGTTGGCTTCTGCATGGACTTTTTGGGGTCCGATAGTTTTTTTCTTAAAGATTTATTTATCTTTATCTGAAAGGCAGGTTTACAGAGGGAGAGAGGGAGACAACAGAGATCTTTCTTCTGCTGTTTCACTTTCCAAATGGCTGCAGTGGTTGGAGTTGGGCTGGTCTGAAGCCAGGAGCCTGGAACTTCTTTTGGGTGTCCCGTATGGATGCAGGATCCCAAGGAGGTGGGCTGTTTTTGCAGCTTTCCCAGATTCACAGGGAGCTGCATCGGAAATGGAGCAGCTGGGACACGAGCCAGTGTCTATATGGGATCCCAGTGCTTGCATGGGAAGGATTAGTCAATTGAGCCATTGTGCCAGCTCCAGTTTTATAATCTTTTAAATTGGAAAGTCAGATGTACAGAGAGAAGGAAAGACAGAGAGGAAGATCTTCCATCTGATGATTCACTCCCCAGGTGACCACAATGGCTGGTACTGTGCCAATCTGAAGCCAGGAGCCAGGAACTTCTTCCAGGTCTCCCACGTGGGTGCAGGATCCCAAGACATTGGGCCGTCCTCTACTGCTTTCTCAGGCCACAGGCAGGGAGCTGGATGGGAAGCAGGGCTGCCAGGATTAGAACTGACGTCCATATGGGATTCCAGGGTACATGCAAGGCGAGGACTTTAGCCACTAGGCCCAGTTTCATAATTTCAGCCTGGAAAATAAAGACTCAAGGTGTAAGGAAATATTTGCTGTTGTTGTTGCAGAATTGTCGGTGATGATGACGGAGGGAAACTGTTTACTCCTGAAGAATATGAAGAATACAAAAGTAAAGTTTTACCCATGCGCTTACAGAACAGGTTATTCGTAAGCTGGAGGTCACCAAGCGGCATGGATTGTAAACTTGTTGGCCCGGAAACACTGTGTTTTTGTACACACAGGTGAGATATTCTGTTACCGTTTTCTGATGATTGGAAAAGAACTTGGAAAGCACACCTTCCTTCTTTAAAGAGCACTGTGATAATTCAGATACATTTTCAAAAGAAGCCTTTATGTAATGCAGTACCAATTATGTCAGTTTTTTTTTTTTTTTAAATCTGTGATTTCAAAGCTTCTGTTAACTAATCCTGCTTGTTGCTTTAAGCAACTCTTCCCACCAGTGAGAGCAAAATACTGGGGACTGGCAGACCCTCTTCTTCCCCAACTGCCCTTTACCCCTTAACTAGCTGCCATGGTGATGTCTTCATCTCAGCGAAGATGGACTGTTTTTGGTCAGAGTTGCGTTGCCAGGAAAGGGCGCAGAAGAAAGGGAGTGGGTGTGGCCCCAGTCACTGGCTCCTGTTGCCCGCGTCTGAGGGTTGTGTTTTGCCTGGCGCATATTCTACTTGAAGTTTTGCCATGGCCTCACGGTCATACATGTCAAAGTCACTGAACTGAATGCATGATTTCAGGCGATGATTTTAACGTGGTGGTCTAGGGAGTCACCAAAGGGCCAGCGCCCTTTTCTGATGGCAGTTTCTGGGGCCCTTTGTAAGAGATGCTTTGATGGGTGCTGTTGGCTGGAGCACAGTTTGCCAGGGGTTGGCAGGTGGCTGCTGGGATGAGTAATGTTGAGGTAAACTTTACAGTCACCTGGCAGCCTTACTCAGACCTTGCCAGGGAATGGAGGCACCAGGGATAGCTTAGCGTCTTTCAGAACTGAAGAGGGGTTTGGTGAATTTCATGATCCCCATGTAATTCATTCTTGTGAAAATGTAATGCCACTTCCTTCCAGCTAACAAATGGATGTTTCTTTTAGCTCTGTGTTAATTTATCTGAGAGGCAGAATGACAGAGCTCTTCCATCTGCTGTCTCAATCTGCCCATTGCCAGGAACCGGAAGTCCCATGCGGGTTTCCCAGGAATGACAGGATGCGGATACTTGAGCCATTGTCTGCTGCCTTCTTGGGTGCTTTAGCCCAACCTGAATCAGAAGTGGAATAGCCAGGATTTTGACCAGTACTTGGATGTAGCATGTGGGTTTTCAAAATGACAATGTAACCACTGTGACATAACACAAGCACCAAAAGATGGGCCTTTTAGTTTCTCAAGGGGCAGGAGTTGTGATAACAGTGGATTCAACCCCTGCTCGGGATACCTGATTCCCGTATAATATTGGAATACTGGTTTGAGTCCTGTCTGCTGTTTCCATCCAGCTTCCTGCTGATAACTCCTGAGAAGGAAGCAGATGAGGATCTACTTACTTGCGTCCCTGCCACCCATGTGGGAGACCCAAGTAGAGCTCCTGGCTCCTGGTTTTGGTGTGGCCCAGCCCCAGCTGTCTGTTGAGGCCACGTGGGGAATGAACCAGCAGAGGGAAGATCTTTTTCTCTGTCTCTCCTCTTTGTAAATCTTTCTGATAAAAATAATTTACTAAATAAATAAATAAATAAATAAGTCCAAAACAACTTAGCTGACAGAGACACTGCATGTAGCAGTTTATCTCCACCTTAGTAACAAGAACAGTAAAACAAGAAATTAAAGAATCGTTCTTGCATTCAATAGAATAGGAATTGTAATTTTTGCTAACACTTGCATTTTTTTGTGTGTTTATCTCCTTTTTTTTAATCCCCCAGATATAAACAACATAAAACTGACTTTGAAACACTTCCCCAGCAGCGCCCCATTGAACTGCCCTGCCAGGTGACCGGCTGCCGGTGCGGGGCCTACCACTACGTCCCTTTAAACGGTACCCAGCCCGTTCGCTGCAGGTGCAAACACTTTGCCGATCAGCACAGTGCCGCTCCTGGCTTTACCTGCAATGCATGTGAGTGGCTTTATTGTGCACATAAAACATACTTATTACTTTGTTAAGACTGAATATGTCTTTGTGTCAGTTTTCTTTAGCTATAAACAACTAAGAAAAATTCTATGGATAAACATTCTACTCTTTCATTTTTTTTTTGTGGGAAAATTATTAGTATGCTTGATAATCATAAACCCTGAACTCATATGATTAAAATAATTTAGATAACAGCAATAGATTTGTGGCACAGTGGGCTAAGCCACCAGTTGGGACTCCTGCAAAATATGTGAGTACAGAGGATCGAGTTTTACCTCTGCTTTCTGTCCAGCTCTTTGGTAATGTGCCTGGAGGCAGTAACAAATGATGGCTCACCAGAAGCTTCTTCCAGGTCTTCCACATGGGTGCGGGTCCCAAAGCCTTGGACCATCCTCGACTGCTGTCCAGGGCCACAAGCGGGGAGCTGGATGGGAAGTGGAGCAGCTGGGATATGAACTGGTGCCCGTATAGTATCCTGGTGTGTGCAGGGCGAGGCCTTTAGCTGCAGGCTACCGTGCTGGGTCCTAAGATTTCTTTTTTATATAAAGAGAACATAGTTTATGTATTCGATATATACAGTTTTAAGAGCATAAGAAACTTTTAACTTCTTTTCTTTCTTATTTTTCTTTGTTTTTGTGATGGCATACTTTATAATCTCAAGTTTAATCCTCTGTTTATTTGCTAAGAAAGACTGTTCTTTAGGCATGTGGACAAGGGCTATACAGAATCATTCAACCTCAAGATGTCAGTTTCACTCATATTCATTACATATGTGTTATGTATATGTATACATATATGGCAGCTATGTATTAGCTGCCAGAGATCACAACATGATACTTGTCTTTTTGAGATTGGGTTTACTTACTAAGCATAATAGTCTTCAGTTGTATCCATTTTGTTGGAAGAAACCAGGATTTCACTCTTTTTATTGCTAAGTAATTTTACTTATCACATATATATGTATATATCACATTATCTTTATTTACTTGACAGTTGACGGCCACCTGGCTTGATTTCATAACTATTGTGAACCGAGCTGCTATAAACATATGGACACAGACAACTATTATCTTTCTTTTTTTTTTTTTAAGATTTATTTTTTTATTGGGAAGTCAGATATACATAAAGGAAAAGAGGCAGAGAGGAAGATCTTCCATCTGCTGATTCACTCCCTAAGCGGCTGCAACAGCCAGAGCTGTACTAATCCGAGCCAGGAGCTTGGAGCATCTTCCGGGTCACCCACACGGGTGCATGGGCTGTCCTAGACTGCTTTCCCAGGCCACAAGCAGGGAGCTGAATGGGTAGAGGGGCTGCTGGGATTAGAATTGGCACCCTTATGGGAACTCAGCACGTGCAAAGCGAGGGCTTTAACTGCTAGGCTAGCACACTGGGCTCCAGATAACTATTTCATATGCTGATTTCATATCTTTTGGAAAAATTCACACTAGTGTGTAGGCTGGGTCATAGGTTAGATCCATTTTGGGATTTCTGAGGGCTCTCTACACTGTCACACATTGTGACTGTACTCATAGAAGTAGGAACAGTTCCCCGGGGGAGTGTTCAGAAACTGGAAGAAACAGTCAGAGGCCAGACAACATGGATTTAACTGGCTGAGCTAAGTTTTTTGGTGTAGGCAGTTTAGTATCCATGTTCTTAACAGTTGGGGGTTGGTGGTTAGCCTACTCATTCAGGTATTCCTGTGCCACGTAGAAGCTTCTGGACTCCATTTCCAGCTTCGGCCCCATGACTCCAGCCTCCTGCTGGTGCCGGCCCTGGCAGGACGGGTGTCGACTTCAGTGGCTGGGTTACCCCACACACTTGGGTAACCCCAGTTGAGTTACCAGCTCTTGGCTCCTGGCTCTGGGCCCTAGTGTAGCCCCACCCCTTGCCACTGCAAACATTTGTGAACTAGCAAAAAATGGTGCTGCCTATTTATCTCTCAAATAAATAAATACAATTTTAAAGTAGAATAAGGTATGTAAGTTGATCTCTTTCTACATCTTGACTCAGGTTCCAAGTGTTCAGGCTTTCACAGCTGCTTTACTTGTGCTTGTGGCCAGCCCGCATATGCCCATGACACGGTGGTGGAGACTAAACAAGAGAGGCTGGCTCAGGGCAAGCCCGTGGGACGAGACGTTCCTTACGCAGCCATGGGAGGACTGACTGGCTTCAGCTCACTGGCCGAAGGCTACATGCGGCTGGATGACAGTGGGACTGGTAAGTGATGATGGGCGAAATGTCCATGTGTGTTGTTTCATAGTTGTGAAGCCTTCTATCTGTTAGCGCTTTATTTGTTTTTTTTTTAAAGAGTTATTTATTTTTATTGGAAAGGCGGATATACAGAGCTAGGAGGAGAAACAGAGAGGAAGATCTTCCGTCCCATTCTTTACTCCTCAAGTAACCACAGCGGCTGGAGTTGAGCCAATCCAAAGTCAGGAGCCAGGAGCTTCTTCCAGGTCTCCCATGTGGGTGCAGGGTCCCAAGGCTTTGGGCCGTCTTCAACTGCTTTCCTAGACCACGAGCAGGGAGCTGGATGGGAAGCGGGGCTGCCGGGATTAGAACCTGGCGCCCATATGGGATCCCAGCGCGTTCAAGACGAGGACTTTAACCACTTTGCTATTGCGCTGGGCCCAGCACTTTATTTTCATCATGGGTTTTCAGAAAACATTCTCTTACTTGACTTTTATTATTATTTTTTTAAATGCTAATTGCCACTATTATCAATGCAGAAAATTTATAAAGCACAGAGGCAAAGTATTGCTATCCTAATATTGGACCCAAATTCTAGTGTACCTGCCTTGTTTGTAATAGTTCAGTAACATTTCTTTAATTTGATGTAATTTACCTGTCACCCTACTTACTGCAGTGTTTGCTATTATAATCACATTATCTTGAAAAGGAAAATTCACATAAAAATACGTGCACATATATATGTGGACCTTTTAAAAAAGATTTCTCTATTATTTTTACTTGAAGGAGTCATATTTATAGAGGGGAAAGACAGAGAGAGATCTTCCATCCATTGGTTCACTCCCCAAATGGCTGCAACTGCTGGAGCTGAGCTGATCCAAAACCGGGAGCTGGGAGCTTCTTCTGAGTCTTCCACATGGGTACAGGTCCCAAAGGTTTGGGCCATCCTCTGCTACTTTCCCAGGCCATTAGTTGGAAGTAGAATTGTAAGTGGAACAGCTAGTATTCAAACCAGTACCCATATCAGATGCTGGTGCTTTAGGTGGCGGATTAGCTTGCTATGCCACCACACTGGCCCTGTGTATGTATCACTGTAATTGCACTCATAATAAACTGTTTGTATATATGTGTTCACAAATGTATCTTCTTGGATACATTTAAGCTATAGGAAAAAGTTTTAATAGCTTATATTCTCAATCCACTGGAAACAGCTGTACCCTTCTGAGAGTTGACTGGGGATAGGGAGCAAATATTCCTTGTCTACTTTAGACACTGGTTTTGGGGGGAGATTTTTTTTTTTACAACAAACATGTATTTTATTTATTTTTAAAAATTCCATAAAATATGTGGGTAGAAATTTGGCACAGGGGTTAAGATGTCAGTAAAGGGGCTAGTGTTGTGGCATAATAGATAAAGCCACAACTTGCGATGCCAGCATCCTATATGGATGCCAGTTTGAGTCTACGCCGTTTCTGATCCAGCTGCTTGCTAATTGTGATGCCCCAAGTGTTTGCTGCCATCCACGTGGGAGACCTGGATCATTGCTTTGGCTTGACCCAGTGTAGCCTACTACAGCCATCTGGGCAGGGCACCAAAAAGGGGTCTCTCTCACCCCCTCTCACTGTAACTCTGATTTTCAACTAAATAAGTAACTTAAAAAAAATGTCATTCGAGGCACCTGCATCCTGTACTGGAGTGCCACTGCTTAGAGTCGCAGCTACTGTGCTTTTCATCACCGTTTTCTTTTGACATGTACCCTGGGAGGCAGCAGATGATGGCTCAAGTACTCGCACTCCAGTTGTGGCAGGCACCTGGCCAGTGATGGAAGATCTCTTTCCGTTTCTTTGCTAGCGTATGCGTTAGCAGGAAGCTAGACTCGGAAGTGGAGCTAGGGCTTAAACTCAGAAATATGGGCTGGGGAACCCAAGTGGCATCTTTTAAAAAAAAATTATTAATTTGATAAGGAGAGTTAGAGGAAGAGACAAAGATCTTCCATCCACTGGTTCACTTCCCAAATGGCCCCCGGGTCAGGACTGGGCCAGGCTGAAGCCAGGAGCCTGGAACAGTGCCTGGATCTCCCACATGAGTAGCAGGGGCCCAAACACTTGGAACTTCTTACGCTGCTTGGAACCAGAGCCAATACAGGATGCCAGCAATGCAGGTGGCAGGTCAACACATCACACAACATCCCAGCGACATCTCAACTCACATGTAAGTGCCTGTCCCCACTGTAAACAATCTTGCCAAGAATATCTCTGAACTCGCCTCTGACTTTTTAAAAGATTATCTCAATTTCTTGGTCATTTGTGTGACTAAGTGGAATTCTGAACTTACCTTTCTAGAAATCCTTTATTAAGTTTATTTCTATTTAACTTAGTCTCTTACAGATAGGTATACGTGAGGATCTTTTTCTTTCATTGTATTTTCTGATTATTGTTTGTTTATTAAAAAAAACAAGTATTTTCTATTGTTTTTGTTACTAGTTATCTTAGAGTTTTAATGACTTTTTAGTTGATTTAAAAAATAATGGTATTTTTGTCTCTGTGTATTGCTTTTAAAGATTTATTTATTTTTATTTGAAAGGCAGATTTACAGAGAGAAAGACACAGAGAGATCTTCATCTGCTGGTTTACTCCCCAAATGGCTGCAATGGCCGGAGCTGAGCCAATCCAAAGCCAGGAGCCTGGAGGTTTTTCTGGGTGTCCCAAGGCTTTGGGCCATCCTCCACTGCTTTCCCAGGCCACAAGCAGGGAGCGGGATGGGAGGTGGAACATCCGGGACATAAACTGGTGCTTTTATGGGATGCCGGTACCAGCAGGTGGAGGATTAACTTGTTGAGCCACAGTGCAGGTTCCTGTTTATTGTATTTATGATTCTTCTTACTCTTGATCAATGGAAATAGCTAGTATTTTGAAAACATTGCTAAAAGGTAGTGTTTGTAGCTGGCATCTTTGCCTCTTTGTGACTTGGTATCTTAATTAAGTATCTGTAAGGTATAAAGAAATAAGCATTTGACCTCTGAGGGAAGGCGGGGTGAAGACAGGTGAGAGTGAGGAGAAAAAGAAGCTGCTTTTCCCTGATTTCAGGGGAAGGAGGCGGGGCCAAGGGGTTGCTCTGTTGACCCTGGCCTGTCCCAGCAGGAGATTCTGGCTGGCATTTGTTTCCGGCATGGCTCAGGAGTTTGTGATTCCCACTGAGCTCTCAGGAGTGCTTGGGAGGTGGAGGAGCTACGGGGAGGAATGAGCCTGCCTTGACATCTGTCACGGGAGGAGTCAAGGTGACTCCAGAGCTGACCCGAGCTGAGCAAGTGCATAGAGGAAGGGGCAGGCTTTGAGGGAGTTTGGTCCTTCTGGAAGGGCCAGGTGTGAGGCTGTGGGGTCCTGTCAAGCTCATGCCAGCCTTGGATATTGGAGATGAGCAGGACGTATGGTGTCTTGTGCCCGTTTGTTCTGTGCCTCCTGCCCCGTGGACAAGGAGTGGATGGTAGGAGGGATGTGGGACGGGGTAGCAGGGGCAGTTGCCCCTGCACTGTTTCCATCCTAAAGCAGGTGCACCTGCTCGGGGCTGTGGGACATGTGAAGAAGGTGGAGCAGTTTCTCCATAGCATCCCTGTTTAATGTATTTAGCAGTTGGTCTGTGTGGTTTGTGGTTGAGGATGTGTCCTCTTTTCATTGAAGAAGGAAACCATCTTTGTGTTTTGTCGGTTTCCTAGCATGGAACAGCCTCAGAGTGCCTTGACTCCGCCCTCTTCACGGGGAGGGGCCTAGTGGCTTCTGTTCTGCTCTTGACCGTGTTCTGTAGCTAATCAGGCTCTTGCACTTCTTTGCTGAGATATAGTTATGTTATTGCATGATTTTTTTTCTACTTTGATAAAGGTCCCTGAGAAATGTGTTGCCTTTTTTTCATAGGGCATATACAAATTTAAATAAAAATGTCTACTTTACATGAAGGATGTTTTTGCTGGCTTTGCTGAAAGTCTAATTTATTTCACCTTAGAAATAAGATCTTGAGAACCTGGTGTGATTGCCTAGTGGCCAAAGTCCTTGCCTTGCGTGCACTGGGATCCCATATGGGCACTGATTTGTTTCCCGGCTGCTCCCCCTCCCATCCAGTTCCCTGCTTGTGGACTGGGAAAGCAGTGGAGGATGGCACAAAGCTTTGGGACATCGCACCCATGTGGGAAACCCAGAGAAGCTCCTGGCTCCTGGCTTTGAACTAGCTCAGCCCTTGGGGGAGTGAACCAGTGGATGGAAGATCTTTCTTTTTGTGTCTCCTTCTCTCTGTAAATTTGACTGTCCAATAAAAAATAAAATAAACCTTAAAAAAAAAAAGAAGTAAGACCTTGAGGTAGGTACTATGGCATGTGGATAACGCCACTGATGCAGATTGGGGTCCTGCTGCTTCACCTCCCATCCAGCTCCCTGCTTGTGGCCTGGGAAAGCAGCGGAGGACGGCCCAAGTGGCTGGGCCCCTGCACCTGTGTGGGAGACTTGGAAGAAACTCCTGACTCTGGCTTTGTGCTGGCCAAGTTTGGGTCATGGAGATCATTTTGGGGCATAAACCAGTGGATAGAAGATTCCCTCTCTGTGTATTTCTCTCTCTTGAATAAATTTGCCTTTCAAATAAATAAATCCTACAAAAATAAATAAGGCCTAGTTTGTGTCCTTATAAATCAAGATGTGATTTTCACCCTCTATCTATTTTGTCCCCAGGTGCACCCTCAGTTGAATTTTTAGATGCTCCAGTTACGGCTGCAGACCACCCATTTCTAAAATCATTTCAAGCGCCGTCCAGTTCTTCTCCAGAAACGCCGATCAGTGGTAATGAAATTAAACTGTAATGTTTCTGCATGTAGTAAATGTGAATATTGAACCTTGTTTTCTAGGCTTCTATCTTCATTTTAATATCACTATAATTTGACTTTGAGTGAATCCATCATTTTACTTTCTTGTCTAGTGACCAGGCACTAAGAAAAAGCAAGAAGCTTCATTTTGTATTTGAAAGGTTACTAAATCTGAGAATTGTGAGACTTCTGGTAATAGTCTATTTTAAAGTTGTTGTTTAAAGTTTTTTTTGATAGGCAGAGAGACAAAGTGCCTTTCCCTTCACTGATTCACTCCCCCAAAATGCCCACAGTGGGTTGATGGGGTTGAAGCAGGGCAGGGAACTCAAACCAGGTCCCCTGTATAGGTAGCAGGAAGCCAGTTTACCAGGTCACCACTGCTGCCGTTCAGGATCTGCATTAGGAGGAGGCTGGAGTCAGAAACAGGGTGAGAATCAAATGCAGGCACCCCTATTGGAACGTGAGTCCCAACCACTAAGCCAGGCACTGCCCCTCCAATGTGAGGTTTTAAGCATTTTTCTGGCGCATGTGGTTGTTCCAGCATTGGAATGAAAGGGTTCTCTTGTGTGTGGATTGCCTGGATCTTTGGGTACTCTGGAAGGAGATACCATCCAGTAATAAGCATAGCTCAGCAGGCTTTTATCGCTTATAAAGTGAGAACAAATAGAATTTCCCATCTAAGGACGAGTTTGCTCTGTCAGTATCAGCTTGAGTGAAAACACTGAAGCAAGTTGTGTGGTTTACTAGGTGTCTAATATTTGTATATATATTTCTAAATATACATACTTACTATATTTATGTCATTATAGATAGAAATATATAATAAATATTTTATATATTTGTAATAATATAGTTTATATTTATATTATTAATATAGAAATATACAGAAATATTCACATATATATTATATATTATATAGAAATATTTCTAAATATATATTTCTATCTAAAATATATAGTTAAATATATATTTCTGAAGATATAAATCTAACAATATATAAATATATTCATATATTTAATATATATTTATGTTACATATAACTATAAATATAAATATGTAATATGTATTTATATGTTATACTAAATGTATATATTAAATATATATTGTTTATATGATATATTTATCTATATTTCTAAATATATGTATATATTTAAAGATTGATTTATTTTTCTTGGAAAAGCAGATATACAGAGAAAAAAGAGACAGATGGTCTTCCATCCACTGGTTCACTCCCCAAGTGGCTACAATGGCTGGAGCTGAGCTGATCTGAAGCCAGGAGCCAGGAGCTTCTTTGGGGTCTCCCACATGGGGGAAGGTTCCATTGCTTTGGGCCGTCTTCGACTGCTTTCCCAGGCCACAAGCAGGGAGCTGGATGGGAAGTAGAGCTGCTGGGATTATAACCAGTGCCCATATGGGATCCTGGCACATTCAAGGCGAGGACTTTAGCTGCTAGGCCACTGTGCTGGGCCCAGGGTGCCTCTTCTGTTGCACTTTAACTCATATCTAGATTCCTTACAACACCTTACACAGGGTAAAGACTGTGTAAATATCTATTGAACCATATATTTTATGGGAATAATGATGGAAGTAAATCTGTATGTGCTCAAAACAGGCACTTTTTTTTGTCTTTTTACTTATTTTATTTCTTAATAATGATTATAAAATTGATCAGAGTGGGAAGGATCGATGTTTAGGGAAAATTGGGTGAATTCATTGCTTCCAAATTTGCTCTTTCTTCTTGCTGTTCCTGGGGGAAGGGGAGAGACAAAGGGAGAACCACTCATGACTTTAAACATGTCCCAGTACCCAGGGATGAGGGACTGCCACCTTACATCAACCCAGAGTCTCAGTGTGTACGTATTCCAAGGGTTCTGACCAAGCGGTTTGGGTAGTTCTGAAATGCTGCTGATTTCAGCAATCTGAGGATGATGTCACCCTCCCAATGTCCATTGCTTCCATTCACCAAGGGTTTTTGCTGTCATTGTGTGTTTGGAGTAGTTGTCCAGTTTATTCTGTTCTCCTGCTACAGCACCAAATGTGCTGCCATATTCTTTTTTTACAACAGGGCCTGTGTCCACTGCTCCACCTTTTTCATTAAGTAGGACATGTTCTTGCAGGCAAGTCCTAGTACCTGGGCGAGGTGTTCCAAACATTGATGGATTCCTCCCCGCCCCCGGGGGCTGCTCACAAACCTGATGACCACCTAGTAGGCAGCCCCAAGACCCAGGACAGGTGACTCAAGCCCTATCTTTATCCTCTACCTCCAGTTCACGAACCAAGAAGGTGGGCCCCAGAATCTGGGCCAAGCAACCCAAACCCCATCGGTTCCCCTGTCCCCTGGGCTCAGGAAGCCAGTCCTCACCACATGGGTGGGCCCCAGGACTTGAGCTAAGCAACCCAAGCCCTGTCAGATCTCCTGTCCCTGGGATTCATGTACTTGGCTCTCACTGGGCCCAGGCTGGCATGACTTGTCTCACCTCGGTGTCTGCAAATCTTTTTTTTTTTTTTAAAGATTTATTTATTTTTATTGGAAAGGCAGATATACAGAGGAGGAGAAACAGAGAGGAAGATCTTCCGTCCCATGATTCACTCCCCAAGTGAGCGCAATGGTTGGAGCTGAGGCAATCTGAAGCCAGAAGCCAGGAGCTCTTCCGGGTCTCTCATGTGGGTGCAGGGTCCTAAGGCTTTGGGCCATCCTCAACTGCTGTCCCAGGCCACAAGCAGGGAGCTAGGTGGGAAGCAGGACCACCAGGATTAGAATTGGCAACCATATGGGATTCTGGTGTGTCCAAGGCAAGGACTTTAACTACTATGCTATTGTGCTGGACCTTGTGTCTACAATCTTACTGCACAGCTTGGCCTAGTCTGGTCAGCTCCCTGTTCCACGTCTTAGGCTGGTGGTTGCTGCAGCCTATCCCAGTCCAGCTGTCTCGGTCCTAATGTAAACTGGCTGGTGTTGTGGCCTGATCTGGTTCCTCCTGCCCCCTGCCTGGTTCTCAGATCTGGCAGTGAGTATTATGTGCTTACCCGGACTGGTCTGTCCCCAGACCTAACCCACATGTATGCTGGCAGGTACTGTATGGCGTGGTCTGGGCTGCTCCTTGTCTTGCTTCTTGCACTCACCTACAGAGACTGCATCCCAATGAAGGAGTTTCCCAAGCTCCTCCATCAAGTCTCCTCCCAGTGACAGTTCTTGCACACACCAGTGGGTCCCTGGCCCAGGTTGACTTTGTCTACCTCCTGTCCTGACAAGAACAGTGGCCTTGCTCAACCAGCCTCACCCATTCTGGTTCTTTTTGGGTGTTGCAGCCCAGTGCTACCTGGTCTGTGCCAAGGCACAGCTTTCACATAGTTCAGCAGGAGTCAAGACCTAGTCTGGCCTTTTGTGTTTTCCAACAGTCTGCACAAGGGATTTTTAAGGCTGCTCACAAAAGCAGTATAGGATGATGTGATGATAAACTATAGATGGAAGAGAGCAAAATCAAGAAAGAGGACATATTCCGGTACCTCCAGCGCTGACTCACTTGCTGCCTGAAGCTTCAGTTTTAATTGACGGTAGTGGCAGCCAAGATACAGAGAAAGTTACGCTCTTTCCCTCTTTGGAAAGCAGCCAGCGTGAGCCCCTCAGGGCCTAGGGCTCTTGGACCAGCACGGGATTGCAGAGTCATCTGTAGAATGACCATCAGTGATGCAGCAGCTAAGGTCCACAAAAACTTTTCTCTCAGTACTTGTAGCACATGACTGCTTGATTCTGATCACTGTGTTTGATGACTTTGGTAATAATTATTAGTCTTTGTTAGGAGGGAGCTGTCATCAGGAGTGAGTCAGAGAGGATCAAACGTGGGTCCCATCTGATACAAGATGGGGGAGTCTCAACCGGTTTCTTAACCACTATGCTAAATGCCAGCCCCTAAAACAAATCAGTTTTAAAAAATGGTGAGGTGGAGAATATCTCTACAGTTGCCTATACAAAACCAAGCCTTAGCAGTTTCTTCTATATATTAGCTCATAATTGTAACATGGATTTTTAGTTATAAAATGTAAAATGTAGTTGAACCAAATTATGTGAATAGCTATATGATGTTATTTAATCAAACCAGTTAAATATTTTGAGAATGTTTGCCAGTAAAAATTATTTTTGTCCTATGCCATTCTTCCTGAAGAATTATGAAGAAGAACCAATTACCCATTTAGGTCATTTCTGGCTTGAGAAAAATAAAAAACAATATCACCATTTTTAAAAAGATTTATTTCTAGTGGAAAGTCAAATATACAGAGAGGAGGAGAGACAGAGAGGAAGATCTTCTGTCCATTGATTCACTCCCCACGTGGCCACAGTGACTGGAGCTGAGGTGATCCAAAGCCAGGAGCCTCTTCCAGGTCTCCCATGCAGGTGCAGGGTCCCAAGGCTTTGGGCCGACCTCCACTGCTTTCCCAGGCCACAAGCAGGGAGTTAGATGGGAAGCAGGGCCACCAGGGTTAGAACCGGTGCCCATATGGGATCCCAGAGCATGCAAGGTGAGTACTTTAGCCACTAGGCTACCGTGCCAGGCCCATGATTAAAATTATTTTAGGGCACTATGTAACGACATAAAATACATTAATTATATTTGTCTTCCCCCTTGTTAGCAGGTACAAGTAGTCAAGTTTCTGCTTTACGGAGACCCGAAGAAGATGATATGGCTATCTTTGAAAGACGATATCAGGAAAGGGTAGGTTTAAAGAAGTCTGCATTTGCTTGTAACATAACACTGTAGAATAATGATTTATGCAATATGAAACAGCAAAGCTAACTTATGGAGGTCTTATATCTGACATTGAATCTTAAGGCTTAGAATAATTTAGACAAAAATAGCATGAAAAAATAATATATGAAAGCACTCAACAGTTCATACCAAATAGAATTAAAAGATAATTTGAATTTTCCTTGAGCTTTTAAAGTACCCTTGTACATACACTGGTTGATATGTAAAGACCAGCAACACTACAAACATAAATGTTGATCAGTAATCAACATCAGCCATCAGACCTGCGAATTATGTGTATATTGAATTCTTTTAAACATTTTTTCCTTTTTAAATTTGAAAGTACTTAATTGTCAAATAGACTGGATATATTTTGAATTTTTGATATCATGTAATTCTGCTTAAGACTGCAGTTAAAAAAATTCACTCCATAGTCTTAAGAGAAAGAAAACACTAAAGATAAACTTCTTTTAGCTGTTTTCAGGACTTACACCAGCTGTAGTCTTGGTATGTCCACAGCGTTTGGTAATGGTCATTTCCTTCAGCTCTACATCATGGTGTAAATACTGTGGGGATAGACATAGTATTTTATTCACCTTTGGATTTCTTCAGTACTTAGTTCAGCATCTGAACAAAGTAAGTTTCCAGTAAATATTTACGGAAAATTGAAAAAATTAACACTAAATAATTGATATTCTCTTTCATATTTGTCAACCACTTATACTTGTGGTAAATTTTCTGTTTGAGAATTTTGTTCTGCTCATTGCTAAAAGAACAACGTTGGCTTGATGAAGTGTGGGAAGTCCTTTCATGGGGATTGTTTTGTAGTTGCTTCCTGGCATTATTCTAAGTTAGGTAACAACTCCACCAGTGTGAGGACACCTCTGGGACTCTTGGTTATGTCCTCTTCTGATCCTGGTCAGCAGCTCACTGGATGATGCAAAGTGTGAGAAAAACAGAACAGGAAGTAAATGGGCCACACAAAAGCAGAGGACGTGGAGACAAGGAGGTCGCCAATGTGCTGGCTGGGGAGGGCTGCCTTCTGCTCCACATGGTGCCTTCTCCCAGTGGGTGACCACAGCTCTCCTTTGGGCCTCTTGTCTAAGACCACTAGCTCGGAACACTCTGCTTTCTGATCACCTCCCAGAAGCTCCCCCTCCTCCCCCCCAGAAAAAGCACCTAGGTGGCTGAAAGGTTGGTGACTGCTGCTTAGGGGCTGCTGCCCCGTGTTAAATGCAGTGCAGGATATAATTGCGGGCCTCGAACCTGCACACCAGGGTGAGATGCTGGCATTGTGAGTACTGCTTCACCTGCTGCACTGCCACGCCCAGCCCCCTAAGACATGAATTCAGATGAGGGGTGGGCAACTTTCTCTTCCTAACAGTGGTTTACAAGTGAGCATACCAGCGAATGCTTAAACTTACAGATGAAAATGGAAAAGGCTGCTAAGCAGAAAGGAAAAGCTCCACTGCCATCTACTGTGAAACCTTCATGATTCGTGAGGACCACGGGGGAGGCTCCAGCTGACGTCTGAACGGGTTTTTCACATCTCTTTGAATATAAACATATAGCTAATTTTCTCTTGAATTTATTACTTGTTTTTTCTACTGTATAAATATCACTTCGTGTATGTTTAATTTATTTAAATACGTGAAAACATTTTTGTCAAAATGTTATCATTTTTTACTTTGTATATACTTTTTTTCTAACAAATGAGATTGTTTTCCTATGAGTCAGATCCTGAAAGTAGAACAAATATGTTCAGTCTGTCATCATCTAACGGTTTCAGGTTACTTTAAAAAATTAAAGATATTTTTAAAGGTTTTGAAAATATGTCAGGAACACTTTGCTATCCAAAGTAGTAACTGGAATCATTAATTTTTTTATTGCTCCAACATTGTAGTGTTGCTTTTTAATGTATGCTTTTAAATAAAAATCTGTAATTTAAAGTGATACACCCATCTTCTAGTGATACATATTCTTCTTAAAAAAAAAAAATTATTTGAACAGCATAGTTCCAGAGGAGAGACCTTCATCCACTGGTTCACTCCCCAAATGGCTGCAATGGCCAGAGCTGTTCCTGTCAGAAACCAGGAGCCCAAAGCACACAGGTCATTCTTGGCTGCTTTCCCAGGCTATGAGCAGGGAGCTGGATCAGAAATGGAAGTAGTGGACAAAGGCCAGCTCCCCTATGGGATGCTGGCGATGCAGCTCATGGCTTTACTGGCTGTACCATAGTGCTGGCCCCACTACACGCTAATCTGTAAGTGTACTGGATCCATCCTGTGTGCCATTCAGGTCCTTGTGGTCTCACTGCTTACCCCAGTCCTGCTGTGAAACACCTGGAAGCTGCACTTGGAGGCTGCTGATGCCGTCTTGTCCTTGGGCCCTGTCCTGGCTCTCTCACTTTCTTTTGCAAGATATTCAGACACTGTGGCTTGGCATTCTGACTGGATCAAACGTGTGCAGCCCAGTGCTGTGGGGGAACTCGTGTCTCTGGGCCCACCAGCTTGCCAGAAAATCCCGAGATGTTTTTCTTAAACTTCCTCAGAAAATCCTATAGAACTGAGTACCAGTCACCTGTAGCCCAGTGACATGAGGGCACTGCAAAGTGTGTGTGGAAAAATAAAAATAAAAGGTAAGTTTATTTTGATGTGCTTGATTTTTGAAATCTTTGCAGTTTTTTCATAATATGAATTTTTCATTAACTTTTTGAAGACCCCACTCATATGCATGGATTTCAAGAATTTGTTGCATCAAAGTAAACTTAATTTTACCTGAGAGGCAGAGCATGGTGAGGATTATAGGGGATTGATTATCTCTTTCATCCACTGGTTCACTCCCCAAATGGGTCTAACATCCCAGTTCTGGGCCATGTTAAAGCCAGGAACCAAAAATGCCAATTTGAGTCTCTCCTGTGGCTAGCAGGGGCTAAAGTAGTTGGGCCATCCTTCCCTACCCTCCCAGATGTATCAGTAGGAAGCTGACCCATAAGCAGCACAGCTGGATTCGAACAACATTCCAGTATACGCTGTTGATGTTGCAAACGCAAGAATAACCTGCAGCACCACAAAACCTGCCTTGAAACGGATCTTTTACCTTAGTTTTCATGGACATTTTGAAGTATCCAGATACACCGTTACGTGACCTTTTTCTTTTTCCCTTTGCCATTACCCTGCCCGTCCCTCTGGTGCCCTCAGAACACTTTCCAGATAAACGACCTGTGCTAGAGAAAAGACCAGAGTGCTAAATTTAGATGCAGAAATGCCCAGAACCGCTACAAACCTGCAAAAACATTTCCCCCAAATTCTCTTGTCCTTTCATCACCCACTAAAACGACTACGAAGTTTCTTGCCAAATGTAAATCCGCCGGACTAGATGACGTCGAAAGACCGCGAAATGTCACGCCACCACTTACGCTTTTGACGTCCGGAGAAAGGGAGCGGCCATTGGCTGTCAGGTGGCCGGAAGCCCGGGCCTACACGTCTCCACATAAATGCCCGGCGTGAGGCCTTCGCCTGGCCGTGAGCTGCGCGCTGGCCGAGGCCCTCGGTGCTCACGTGACTCGGCCGCGGCTCCCTCCAGGCCCCGATGGCGGCGCAGGGCCGTGTGCGCAGGCTCAGTGTGAGGCCGCCCGCGCGGTAAGGCCTTGCACGTGCGCGGTAGCGGTGGAGCGGCGGGGCGGCGGGCAGAGGGCCGAGGGTCCGGCATGTGGGGCCAGGGTCACTTTTCTCGGGCGTCCGTGGCAGAGAGTGTGAGGTCAGTCATCTTCTATGAGGTGTCCGGGATAAGGCGCCTGTCTGGACGGCTGGTGGTTGCCGCCGGGTGCGTGGGAAGGCCTCCAGCCCTGACCAGGGCCGTTTCCTGGCCTTTGGGGACCGCCGAGGCGGCCATGGGTACCCCTAGTGTGCAAGGAGCAAGGGCTGGAGAGGTTTGGGGGAGAAGACGTTGACCTGGACTTGTGTATCGCACTCCCCTGCCTCCTCGGCGCCATTGGAACCTTCCCACATGTCCGGAGCACACCACGAGCCGGCATGTTCCCCTGTGTCCACATGTCCGGTGAGCCCGGAGTCCCCCTGTGTCCGCGAGTACCCCATGCCCGCCTCACTCAGACTTGGAGGTGTTGCTCGAGACTCCCCCATTCCTTCTGGCGCAGATACAGGGCCCAGCTGGTCTCCGTAGGTGAGGGAGAGGGGGAGGGGACGGAGGCGGGGGCACAACTCTTAAAGGGACGTTTAAGAATCTTCTAGAAATAGTTTAAGATTTCCAAAGTGAACTGTTAGTGAACTGGGTTTTGCTTTCTTGACATCCTTAATTTAAAAACTAGCGTTTGGACCCAATGAAAGAATTCCTGGTTTGTAGACGTTTCACACCCCTTGGTGTAGTGGGGGGTGGGGGTTGGGGGTGGGGAGAAAGAAGCGAAATTCAAGAGTGTTGTAGTTAGGAATGTTATCAAAGTCTTGAGAGGGTTTGAGACTGCTGACAGTGGTGTTCTTAGCTAGCTTTTTTTTTTAAAGACATTTTTAATTGGAAAGGCAGATGTTTGGATATGGAGACAAAGAGAGAAAGAGTGCCATCCACTGGTTCACTCCCCAAATGGCTGCTATGGCCAGAGTTGAGCCAATCTAAAGCCAGGAGCTTCTGGCTCTCCCATGTGGGTGCCAGGGCCCAAGGACCTGGGCCCTCTTCTGCTTTCCCAGGCCACAAGCAGGGAGTTGGGAGGGAAGTGGAGCAGCTGGGATACGAACTGGAGCCTATATGAGATCCCAGCAACGGCAAGGCAAGAATTTAGCTGTTAAGCCATCACACGGGGCCCTTTAGATAGCTTTTGAAAGCTGTTGAAGTCTGATGTTTGTGCTTCTTTGATGAATGTGTGTATAATATTCTGTATTGAAGATAAAGTTACAAGTCTGTAGACTTTTTTGGGGGGAAGTAGTTTGCCTATTATGGATGAAAATTATTAAGCCAGATTTGATTTGTGGGCTTTAATTCCAGTTATGCAACCATGGTGCCTGTTATATACCATTTAAAAGCATTTGTTCTATTTTCTTTATTTTTAAGGTTTATCACAAATCTTAAAAAAAAAAGTGGGGGTGGGCCCAGCACAATTGCTCAATGGCTAAATCCTCACCTTGCAAGCCCTCGGATCCCATATGAGTGCCAGTTGTGTCCTAGCTGCTTCACTTTCCATCTGGTCCCAGCTTATGGCCTGGGAAAACAGTTGAGGTTGGCCCAAAGCACTGGGACCCACGTGGGACACCTGGCTTCTGATCAGCTCAGCTCTCGCTGTTGTGAACCATTGGAGAAGTGAGGCAGTGGACAGAAGATCTTCCTGTCTCTCCTTCGCTCTGTAAATCTGATCTACTTTTCCAATAAAAATAAAATTGTAAACAAATTATTAATGTATTTGAAATGCAGAGCTACACAGAGAGAGGAAGAGATACAGAGAGATTTTCCAAACATAGATTCATGCCCCAAGTGGCCACAAATGTTGGGGCCATGTCAGGTAGGAGCCAGGAGCTTCTTTCCAATCTTCCACTTGGGTGCAGGGGCCCAAGCACTTGAGCTATCCTCTGCTGCTTGCTCAGATGTATAAGCAGCAAGATGGACTGGAATTGGAGCAACCAGGTCTGGAACTAACATATGGGATGCTTGACATCCTATGCAGTGTTTTGACCCACAGCACTAACCCATTGTTTCTCTTGTTTTGTGTTTTATTTTGTTTTGGCAGGGGGAGGAGGAATGTGTTAATTTTTTTAGGAAAGAGTGTCAATATGTATGTGCATTATTCACTTCACTGCAAATTTTTAAGCATTTGGCTAGAGGTAATTTCATAGATTGAGATAATGGAATTGTGAGGTATTGCATATTGGAAATGAAAGAACTAATTATCGAGGAAAACACTTTATAGATCATTTTGCAATGTAGAGTTTGATTTTTGATCGCTTCCTTTAGGACAAAATATGCTTGTAAAAATTTGAATATCATCAGGCTTAGTCTGTATTGCTGTTGATGCAGGACCGTAATCTAATTCAAGGTATAATTTCAGTTTTCCGGGAATTGTCCAGATGGATGAAGACACCCATTACAATAAAGGTACTGACAGTTATAAAAGTATTTCACAATTAAATGCTGGATGATGGTGATTTATTTCTAATTTTCTTTGCACCCTGATTTTGTTTTAGTTGAGGATGTGGTTGGAAGTCATGTAGAAGATGCAGTAACATTTTGGGCCCAGGTAAGTAACCGACCATTTTCATTTGTCCTCTTCCTCTTCCCTGACCCAGGTCCTCCACAGCAAAAACCAAAATGAGAAAACTGGATGAATGAATGTTGCACAAGGCATTTTTAGAAGCTAAATAGCTACAGATGGAGATGAATCAGATCTAAGCAGTATACTCATATCAAGTTAAAAACTTCATAGAAAAATTGTGACACCAGGATTACACTGAATACTAACTTTCCAGGCTGTTTACACTGAGCAGTTGTACTTGTGAAGTGATAGCCCCATCTAGGGGTACTTTTAAAAATTGCTTATTGAAAGATAAAAGTCATGTTTTGTAATGACTTAAATTTGATTCTGAGCTATATTTTTTTCTCATTATAAATTAGGTATTTTCTCCTGGCATGCTGAAAGTCAGATAAGTTTGTTCAGTTTGAAGTACAAGACAAAGCAGCAAAGTGTTTCTGTTGAGAATTTACTTAAAAAAAAACCTCATTTTATCATTTCCCAATAAATCTCTTTTTCTTTTCTTTTTTTTAAGAGATTTATTTTAGTTTTTTTTATTGGAAAGTCAGATATACAGAGAGGAGGAGAGACAGGAAGATTTTCTGTCCAATGATTCACTCCCCAAGTGACCACAACGGCCGATGCTATGCCGATCCGAAGCCAGGATCCAGGAACTTCTTCCAGGTCTCCCACATGGGTGCAGGGTCCCAAAGCA